GGTGCCTGGCCAGTCTGGATGAGGGGCTGAGGGCTGTTTTCAGGCGGGCCAAGCCTGCAACTGAAGCTCCCAGTCTCTCCTTTTTTTCTTTTTTCTTTTTATTCTGGGATTTATTTACCTTCTGTAATTGAAACTTTGTTGTGGCTCCAGCTACGAGGCTGGCTGGCTGAAAGCAGGTATCTGGGGTTTGCTTAGCTTCTATAATTGCAACATAGTTGCTTAGAGTGCAGCTCAGAGCCCGGCTGTGGCAGGCAGGGAACCTTGGCTTCCTCCATCACTGGAGTAAGCAAACCTCATGTTCACTTCAGCTCCGTGGCTGCCAGCTGCCATCTTGGTTGGCAGTTAATTTGCATATCACCCTGATTAGCCAATGGGAAGTGTAGCAGAGGTATGGTTAATTACCATGTTTGTCTATTATTAGATAGGATATAGATATGTAATTCCTTATATTAGGTTTCTTTTATTCATTTATTTTTTTAATTACAGTTTACAGTCAATATTATTTTGTATTAGTTTCAGGTGTATAGCACAGTGATCTGACAATAGTACACTTCACAAAATATTCTCCCTGATATTTCTAGTACCAACCTGGCATCACTCATAGTTATTACAATATTGTTGACTATATTTCCTATGCTATACTTTACATTCCAATGACTGTTTTTAACTAACAATGTGTACTTCTTAATCTCCTTACCTTTTTCACTCAGTCTCACAATCCACCCCCCACCCATTGGCAATTATCAGTCAGTTGTCAGTATCTATGAGTCTGTTTGAATTTAGTTTGTTCTTTAAATTCCAACTATAAATGAAATCATATGGTATTTGTTTTTCTCTGACTGACGTATTTCACTTAGCATAATACCCCTAGGTCCATCTATACTGTCACAAATTATAATATTTTATTCTTTATTATGGCTGATAGCATTGTATATATGTATCACCACTTTTTTGTTTGCACATCTATTGATGGGCAATTGGGTTGCTTCCATATCTCAACTATGGTAAATAATGCTGCAATGAACATAGGGGTGTATATATTCTTTTCAATTTGTGATTTGTGTTTCTTCAGATATATACCCATAGGTGGAATGGCTGGGTCATAAGGAAGTTCCATTTTTAATTAATTTGAGGACCCTCTGTACTGTTTTCCACAGTGTCTGCACCAATCTGTATCCCCTTTGAGGGTTCCCTTTTCTCCACATCCTAGCCAACACTAGTTGCTTGTTTGATTTATTGATAATATTCATTCTTCCAGGTGTGAAGTGATATCTCATTGTGGTTTTAATTTGCATTTCTCTGAAGATTAGTGATATTGAGCATCTTTTCATATGACTATAGGCCATCTGTATGTTCACTTTGGAGAAGGGTCTATTCAGGTCCTTTGCCTATTTTTAATTGGATGGTTTGTTTTCTTGATGTTGAATTGTATAAGTTCTTTATAAATGTTGGATAATTACCCCTTACCAGATGTATTATTGGTGAATATCTTCTCCCACTCATTAGGATGTCTTTTCATTTTGTTGATGATTTCCTTAGTTGTGCAAAACTTTATAGTTTGATGTAGTCCCATTTGTTCATTTTTTCTTTTGTTTCCTTTTCCCAAAGAGATATGTCAGAAAAAATATTGCTAAAAGAAATGCCAAATTTTACTGCTTGTTTTATTCTAGGACATATATAGTTTCCAGTGTTTCTAAGTCTTTAATCTATTTTTAGTTTACTTTTGAATATGGTGTACAAAGGTGGTCTAAGTTTAGTTTTTGCATGTATTTGTCCATTTTTCCCAATAGCTTTTATTGAATAGACTATCTTTATCCAATTGTATGATCTTACTTCCTTTGTCAAATATTAATTGCCCATATGAGCTGTGGTTTATTTCTAGGCTCTCTATTCTGTTTTATTGATTTATATGTCTGTTTTTATGCCAGTACCATGTCCTTTTGATTACTCTAGTCTTGTAGTATAGTTTGATATGAGTTATTGTGATTTCTCCAACTTTTTTTCTCAAGACTGCTAATTCCATATAAAAATTTGAATTATTTTTTCTAGTTCTGTGAAATACACCATTAGTATTTTGATAGGAATTGCATTGAATGTATATATATTGCTTTGGGTAGTATGGAGATTTTAATGATGTTAATTATTCTTATTCATGAGCATGGTATATACTTCCATTTATTTGTATCTCCACTTTCTTTTTTCTAAAAAATATATTTTATTGATTTTTTTACAGAGAGGAAGGGAGAGGGATAGAGAGTTAGAAACATCGATGAGAGAGAAACATCGATCAGCTGCCTCCTGCACACTCCCTACTGGGGATGTGCCTGCAACCAAGGTACATGCCCTTGACTGGAATCGAACCTGGGACCCTTCAGTCCATAGGCTGATGCTCTATCCACTGAGCCAAACTGGTTAAGGCTGTATCTCCACTTTCTTTCTTCAGTGTCATAATTTTCTGAGTACAGATCATTTACTTCCTTGGTTAAATTTATTCCCAAGTATTTTTATGTGGTTGTAAATGGATTATTTATTTATATATTTATTTATTTATTTATTTATTTATTTATTTATTTATTTA